TAAAAATTGTTTTATTTCCGCTGTGCATGATTAAGTAAATTTCCAACACGATAATCTTTACTTTCCTCTAAGAATTAGTGTATATCTAGAATACCTTGTACAAGTATGAGATACAAAATGATGAAACGCTATGTGGAAAAATCAATACACATGACGCGTATTCATTTATTACAATTTAAACACTACTTTCAAATAATCTAAAATTATGTTTATAGATCATTTGACGCATGTGTAATTATTTCTGCAACTATAAAAGTTATATCGAGTTTAAGAAGATCAACTTCATGTCTTACATATTAATTATTATTTTCAGATTAAAGCGGTGCAAGATTTTAATTTCTATATTCTTTGCAAAATGATAGCTTGTTCAGAAACACCAATAATAAAACCTCAAATTGCTCGTTTGAATTTTCTGGCCTCTGATAACATATTGAGTTTTGATGTTCCATCTTAAAACATCAAACATTAACCAGAGCTTTAACTTAAATATTTATATGTTATCGAGTTTAAGAAGATCAACTTCATGTCTTACATATTAATTATTATTTTCAGATTAAAGCGGTGCAAGATTTTAATTTCTATATTCTTTGCAAGATGATGGCTTGTTCGGAAACACCAATCATAAAACCTCAAATTGCTCGTTTGAATTTTCTGGCCTCTGATAACATATTGAGTTTTGATGTTCCATCTTAAAACATCAAACATTAACCAGAGCTTTAACTTAAATATTTATATGTTTGTTATATTATTTTATATTTGAATGACGTGGGATTTCACCCTTACTTACAAGACAAACTTAAACTAAAAGGTATTCTTGAAATGTCTAAAGCTTAGTGCTTGTTTCATAAAACATTGCTAAAGTTTCATCAACTTTTCAATCAGTAGAATTTCGATTTTAATCACATATTTCATTGAACCGACAACTATTTATCAATTTATCAATCATACATTTTATGAACTGTTGTCAAAATATGCTAATTTTTTTCTAAAAAACTTTGTCGATCAACCCATTAATTACATTTAGGTTTGCCTTTCAGAATTCAAGGAGTTAGATTGGCTAAAAAATCTAGGTCTAATTTTCCACAATTGATTGGTTGACTGAATTGGATAATTCAAGATTTCACGTTACTTTTATGTTAGAGTTTAGGTGTGATCCGAATTCTTGTTGAAGTAATTGAATAATTTTAAATGAAGTGCACGTCAAGATGAATTCAGTTTGAAATGTTATTGGAGTCATATGTCAAGTTGAAGTTCTATTTTGGAAGCCCATTACGAGTTGGAAATTGTTATTGGATTTGAAGAAGAGTTCAGGATGGAGAAAACAACTTAGAACAAAAATTTTTTTTGGGTAGAATGCCCGGCGCCAAGGCGCTCGGAGGTGGCGCCACATACCTATTCCGATTTTTTCGCATTTGTCTCCTTTTTCATTTTGAACTCGATTTTTTGACATCATACTTCATCAACAACTCTAGTAGGAGGGTTTGGACGTTGCTACATATTTCCTATAAATATTAAGCTCTTTTCTGCAATTATGATGTGAGAATAATGTGAGAAAAGAGATTACTAGAACTTTAGGATCAGTTGTATATTTTTCCATTATTATTGATGCAATAAAATCTCATAATTCCTTTGTCATATTTTCTTGTCTTCTTTTATTTTTTTACTTGTGATCAAATACTTCATTATTGTGCCATATAACTTCAACATATCGATCCGATAGTTGGTTTCATATCAAGTGGTATCAAGCGATACATGATCATTGAATTCCCAATAATTGATATCAGAGATTTTGGGTACAATTAACACAATAAATGGTATCAGAGCTTAGGTTCAGCAGTTCCAAAGAGCATAGGGTTTGATTTGTTTTTTGTTCGTGATGGCTATCATGAAGTATGACATTCCGCTTTTGGATCGTAGTACTAGATTTTCGCTATGACTGGTTAAGATGCATGCAGTACTCGCACAGCTGGATTTGGATGATGCGTTGCAGGAAATGGACAAGATGCCAGCAACTTTGACCGCAGAGAAGAAATTACGGAAGGATAAGAAGCAATTTCTCACATTCATCTTCATCTATCGAATACCATTCTCCAGAACGTTTTGAATGAGGGTTCAGCAACTGCTTTATGGTTGAAGTTGGAGCAATTGTGCATGCTTAAAAATTTGACAAGCAAATTGAATCTCAATCAGCGTTTGTACTATCATCGAATGGCAGAAGGAGGATCATTGGAATATCACCTAGTTGTATTTAAAGAGATCGTCGCTTATTTGAAAACTTTGGAAGTAAAGTATGATGAAAAAAATTTGACCTTGATTCTGTTATGTTCATTGCCCTCTGCATTTTCTTCATTTTGAGAGATGATCTTGTATAGTCGTTATACTCTCACCATTGATGAGGTGTATGATGTTTTGTTCTCACAAGAGAAAATGAAGCATCTGGTTGTAGAGGCCAGGATGGAGAAGATTTGGTTGCTCATGATGGAGAAGGCTTGGTTGCTCATGGTGCAATAAAATCTCTTAATTCATCTGCCATATTTTCTTGTCATCTTTTATTCTTTTCTTTGTGATCAAATACTTCATTATTGTACCATATAACTTCAATATCTGAATCCGATGGTTGATTTCATATCAAGTGGCATCGAGCGATACATGATCCTTGAATTCTCAATAATTGGTATCTCAATAATTGGTATCAGAGATTCTGGATATAATTAACACAACATTTTATGGATTGAAAGTTGAGGGTTATCATTGAGACGGATGCATACAGACTAGGTGTGAAACAGGGGACGTATTTTCTCCTTCCAACCACACCCATAAATTGATTTACCGAGTTCATTTTACGCATCCTTAAATTTTATTTTAGAGTTAGTTCATTCTCATTATTCTCAAGTTCATGATTGCCATTAAAAAAAAATTAAGGTATAGAAAGACTGGAATTCAAAAGTTTACTGGTTGTTTGAGTTTTCAATTCGGTCAAATTATTGAATGTCAGCCTTATGTCGAAAGATCATTAACGTGTGAATCATTCTTCAAAACTGACCCGTTTACGTCAATGTTTTCTTTGTGAGGGAAAAACTATAATACTACATGAAAATATAAAATTCATTTACAGTGACATGAAACAAAAAAGCAGTTTGGTAGTAGAATATATCAATAAGGTACATGAATATATTGTTCAGGCCCTTGTTGTAAATTATAATGTAAGATCATTGACACTCTTGACATCATATATATTGAAATAAATTCAAATCGTAGGCAGTTAGATTCAAGTCATAAGCATTAAAATTCTAGGCATCATCACTTGCACAAAATTATGCAAAGGTGTAAACACGTTCACATGGCCAAACAATTGCTAGACAATCAACAATAGCAGTCACAATATAATATGTAGATATCGTGTTATTCACTCGGGGAATGTCACTACCACAAACCATACCAATAAAAATCAAGTAAAGAGAATAAATCTGCTTACAAGATATTACATTAGAATAAGAACATGAGTAATTAGAAAATGTCTTGTTATAATGGATATGCATATTGTTGGAAGTTACCGCGGATATAACTCACTCATCGAGGCCTCATTTGTTGATAAATGAGTAGTGTTATCTGATTGATCTTTGGATGAATTATCCGGACGAAAGCTACCTGACATGAAAAATGCAGGTTGTGAAGGTACCCGTAGAGTCAAGGAAAAACTAGAGAGCATGAGAACCACCGATCCCATTGTAGGTCTATCAGCTGCATTTTCTTGAACACATAACAAACCGATGTGAATACATCTCGCAATATCACGCATGGATCCTGAAGAAGTCCTCAATGCAGGATCTATTATATTTGCAACCATTCCTTGGTGCCAATTTTTCCAAACCTGTTAGAATTGGAATGTTTAAATACAATAAATATAACCGTTGGTGGCTTAAAATTGACAAAGACCAAACCTTATCATATTTGTACTTACAAAACTTATGAGGTCGTCCATACTCTCCCCATTCTGAAAATTATAAGCTTTCTGACCAGTTATGATTTCCAAAATTAGGACACCAAAGCTATAGACATCTGATTTAATAGAGAAGTGTCCATGTATTACATACTCAGGTGCCATGTATCCACTGTAATAGTCAGTTTGTAGGTATATCATTAGTCACATGTTTAATAAAATAACCATCTAGCTATGTTTAGTTATTAACATGACCATATATGTTTAGTTTTGTGCATCACTTCATATTTTCTTTTCGTAACAACTATGTAAAAATAAACTAAGTGATACTATGAGACATGCACTTTGTAATCTGCTTACAATGTTCCAACTATTCTGCTAGTGCTGTGCTGAGTTTCGTTCGGGACAAACAATCTCGCCATGCCAAAATCTGAAATTTTGGGGTTCATCTCTCCATCTAACAGAACATTGCTGGCTTTGAGATCTCGGTGAATGATTCGGAGACGAGAATCTTCATGTAAATAAAGTAGTCCCTTAGCAACACCGCCAATAATTATGTAGCGCTTTTCCCAATCCATACATGGATTGTTTGGATCTACAATAACGATAACTACCCTCAAATAACGATAATTATGCCATAATTAATTAGCCATACAGAGCAACCAGATTGCTTTAAGAATTTTGAAATATGATTTACTTAAAAATAATAATAAAATTTTACCAAATATGAAGTGGTCCAAACTCCCATTCTGAACCAATTCGTATATAAGAAGCCTTTCATTTCCTTCAACAGAGAAACCCAAGAGCCTAACCAGATTCCTGTGTTGAAGCCTCGCTACTAGCAAGACCTCATTCTTAAATTCCAAGTCACCTTGCCCTGAACCATGGGACAACCTTTTTACTGCAATTTCGTTTCCTTTTGGGAGTTTTCCCTGAGATTAAATCACAAGTGAAAATTACATGAACTTCCTGATAGCGTTAATATGTATGACAGCTAACAGTTCACTTAAATACTTAACCTTGTAAACAACTCCAAATCCACCTTGCCCCAACTTGTTAGCATCAGAGAAATTGTCTGTTGCAGCTCTTATCGTACTAAAGTCATATTGTAGGGATTCAACAGTACTGATCTCCCCGTCAACTTGACCAAAGTATAAAGAAATATCTCAGGTAAATTGTAATTAAAAGAGATCATAGATAAATGTGAATCTACCTAAAATTAGAGTCATAAACTTACGGTCAACATTTTCCCTTGGTGTACGCATTTTTTTGGTTTTTAAGTAGATGCCAATGCAAAGTGCAAGTATTAGACACACAGCAATTGGAACGATGATAATAATGATAGTTCGAGAAGTATTTTTCCCGTTTCCTGCAAAATCGAAAATAAATCGTGTTAATACCATTTTTAACTTATCATATAATATTTACCCTTAGATCATTAGTTTCAACATAGAAAAAATCTTAAAATTGAAAAAAAAATAAAAATTTAATTATCGTACAACACGAGCACGTTTAGAAAACTAATCATTTATAAATAAACAAACTTTGTAGGCAGAGTCCTTACCCGGCGGCTGCGGTGACGCTGGCGGTGGCATTGGTGGCGTTGGTGGCTGATATACCGGTTCAACCATCGATTCGTTGTAGAATGGATCCGGATCAGTTTCGAAACGAAGATAGCAACTAGGACTAAGGATTCTAACTCCTCGTGCACCATCACAGCATTTTCGAATGTGTTGGGCAGACTCGTTTAAGCAATCACGACATTCCTCCGAGGTTATATCAGGTGTGCACTGTTCAAATGCAGAAATTCTCGGATATTTCGGATCATTCACATCCCGAGTGGCAGCAGCAAACTTCTTCGGCGAGCTATTAGAAGCGGCATGGTCGTGAAGGCTGTTCAACAATACATTCAGCTCCCAGTAAAAAACGTCTGTATTTGTGACATTTTCCCCACTATTACCCCAATCCATAGGGGAATTTGCAAGAGTTCCAAAGATAGCCTCGTCGGAATATCGTACCATACAAAATTCGTGCCATAAGATTGCCTGTTTTTTATTTGGACACTTCTTTAAGATTTCGGCCGTAGCATTTTCCACATAATCACGACACTGAGAAGGCTGAAGATCAGCTCTACAGAGCGCAATGACGTTGACTCTATCAGGAGTTTCTCCGGTAGAGGCGTTGTAGAATCCATTGGTGTCAATATTTGGCGGAACGGAGGAGAGGGAAGTATTAAGGTTTCTTTCGTAGGTGCTATTTCTTGTGTACCTTCTACCATTGTCTGGACATTTATAATGAATAAAAATTTCAGTTGGGAACTGGGATTTGACAATAGCAACAAGGTTTATCAGAGAGATAAAGAAAATAAAATTAGGAAGCCATTTCCAAGAACTCATTGCTGTATATCGTGTTTGTAATGTAGAGAATGCTTAGGGCTATTTGGCTATAAATTAATATGCCGTCGGAAACGAAAAACATTAAAATTGAAACTTAAATATTTGCAAAACATGTAAAAAGTTTTACAATTTTCTTGTCGAGAGCATAAAATGAATAAATCAATTTGATCTAACACTCGTGGGCCATCTTGTCGAACAAAACAAATGATCAGAAGGGTGGAGAGAGGAATCCATGTGCATTATTTAAATGGCAGCCCCTCCCATGTGAGTGTGATTGTACGAGTAGGTTAAAGTGTGAAACCAGACAATTAAGATATTTTCTGCATATGATGAAATTTCAAACCAACCTTGCGTGTCTCAATTGTCATGAGTTATTTCAACGAGACCTTTCTTCTTTGAATAGATACATGATTAATGAGCTAATTCATGAAGAAGAGTGAGAAGGAATGATGAAGACAAAATACAGTACGAGTACGTCCTACTTTTTAATTTAATTTTCCTTGTATGTTTGATAAACCTTGTTGCTATTGTCAAATCCCAATTCCTAACTCCAATTACTATTCATTTTAAATGTCAAAATAATGGTAGTTACAAGAGTGATGGCATGTTCAAGGTAAGATATTCAGTTGAACAAAATTTACTGCCACGTGCAATTCCATTTACCTAGTCATCATTTATGTTAGTTTGACTAGTGTAGACTCGTGGATGGACTAACTGTCTACATTTTGTTAAGTTGAAGGACTAAAAATTGTACATTTTCATATTCATTTTCGACTACACATTTTCACAATAAAATGTTTTACCCGTAAACTCCGATACTTTGATGATGAGCGAAGGATAGACATTTTAAAGCTCAGTTGCTAATGTTAAACATTGTGGAAAGTATAGTTTTCATTTGTGAATTTAACCTACCACAAGTGTTTTTAATTTATTCATGACTTAACTTGGCTCGATAATACAATTTTCAAGATTTTTAATGTTTTCTATTATTTAAAACAACCATAAAAAATAAAATGAATTAATTAAAAAGTAAAACAGAAATAAACGAACAAATAAATTTAAACTTGTAAATTAGTTTGTGACTCTTGTTCGTTGATTGTTGAAATGGTCAATGATGGATAACTACTACTAGCGTGTTGAACATTTTGTCATTCATTGCACATTAGTTTTTGTTGATTTTACAAGTCAAGCAACACTAATAAATTGTTGGTCTTGGTCTTGGTCTTGGTCTTGGTCTTATCATAATTCACACACAGCAAGACACGCTAGTTGGTTTCAAACTTCATCATATTAATTAGAGTTAGAAAAGATAATTAATTGTTATCATGTAATTGTAGAAATTGATTTTTAGTCATTTGATAATGATTGAGATGTTTTTATTGAACTTCTTTGAATGTTAATTGATAAATAAACCGTGTTAATTTTGGTCAAGAGTTAAAGCATTTTTGTAATCTAAATTTGAAAGCTTCAAACATTTATTTTGTTTAATTAATACATGATTTAATATAGTATACATATATCCAGAAGAATGGATGTTCGATATTTTTTTGGTAGTCATGCAGATGATAGGAGAAATCGCTATGAGGTTAAGGGTGTTTTATAATAAACCCGTATCGAATAGTTGATACCCATATGAAGAGAATAGTATTACTTTTAGACATCATTTTGGATGATTCACCAAATGCAATTTTTTCCTAATCTTTTTTTTCCGTGGAGATCGTTTCCATTAGAAACTTCATCCATAAATTTAGCATAAGTATGAAGTATCACTTCTCATTTAAAATAAATTTCTTCCATATTGAATTAGGTCCATGTTAGTTTTAGAATGTAGGAAAAAAATTTACATAATTAAGCTGTAAACATCAAATGAATAAACTCGAGTAAAAGGAATAAGCAAGTGAATAAAACAATATATTTGGCATGTTTAAAATTAGGTCACATTTTCCACGTTTGAACCTCATTTTTGTTGAAAATGAATTTTGTAATAGTTAATTTTTGGGAAAAAAATTTGAGTTTACGAGCAAATATTTTATTGAGGAAGTGTGTCGTTGAAAATGGGTTTGAGATAAGATGGTTTCAAATATGAGTTTTTTTTTATATGGAAAATTAGTTTTGGAATATTGATTTTTTTGGAGAACGTGTGGTTAAAAAGGAGGAAAAAAATTTTGGTTTATGTGTAGTTATTGTGAGAATGTGTGGTTGAAAATGAGTTTGAGGAAAAAAAATTTAATGATTATCGAACAAGGTATTAATTTGATGTTATTCATTTTGCCAAACGTATATAATTTTCAAAAGTTACATTTTTTTAACTATAACTATTATGCACGGGAACATGCTCGTTATCAGAAAAAAGAAAATGTGGTTCTTGCTTGAAAATGAGAATTTATCTTGTGGAAGAGATGAATGATGGGGATATATGTACCTACTTCGCACCTTCTCCTTAATTCCAAATCAAATAGGTTTAATTATCGGAATGCTACATGAATACCCGCTGATCTATAGTGATTATCACATTAAATAACAATAATTACTTTTCATATATCATTAAGTCCCTATATGATGGGGATTAAAATTAATTTTTTAGTAGATTTTAATAAGAGTTAGTGAAATGTATGATTGAAAGGTTGTAGGTCCCATTAAATATGTGGTTAATGTCTAATATCTAATGTCCCAAGAGAAACCTCGACACCATCCACTCATTGGTAAATTCCAATAGAGTCATTGTCATTCCAATGGTTGGATAGATTGATTGATTGTATTTTGAATTTAAAATAATAAAAATTAAATAACAAAAATCACAAGAAAAAGCTTGTTGAATCCAATAATCTGAGTATCTTGGTAATTAAATCAAATGTTGGCATGAAGTCAGAAACATAAAATTAATGAATAAACCAAAACAATTGAAAAGGGTCCCTAACCCACGATTGTTGCATCATAAGGCTGCAGCAGCAATTGACCAAAATCAAGATATTATTAACTTTTTAAACTCGCAAAACATGGAAAGAAGCAGTGGGTGATGAACATGGAGAAATATAAAGGAAATAAGTTCCCTTTGAATCATCAATTTTCAGGCAATAAAATTAAAAAGAGAAAAGAGAAAAAGTCCCAAATTCCAGTGGGGGTATGTGGACCCACTGGATCGCCCATCCCTCTGCGGAGCCGGCTGCGCAGCCGGTGGTGGCATTGACCGCTTTGGTGATTCAACCATCGTCTCATTGTAGAATGGATCTGTTTCGAAACGAAGATAGCAACTAGGCCTAAGGATTCTAACCCCTCTTGCACCGTTACAGCATTCTCGAATCTGTTGGGCAGATTTTGTTAAGCACTCACCACATTCCACTGAGGTTATATCAGGTGTGCACTGTTCAAATGCATAAATTTTCGGATATTTCGGATCATTCACACCCCGAGTGGCAGCAGCAAACTTCTTCGGCAAGCTATTAAAAGCGGCATGGTCGTGAAGGCTGTTCAACAGTACGTCCAACTCCCGGTAAAAAACGTCTGTATTTGTAACATTTTCCACACTATAAGCCGGTTTCATTGGGGAATTTGCAAGAGTTCCAAAGATAGCCTCGTTGGAATATCGTACCATACAAAATTCGTGCCATAAGATTGCCTGTTTTTGATTTGGACACCTCTTTAAGATTTCGGCCGTAGCATTTTTGACGTAATCACGACACTGAGAAGGCTGAAGATCTGCTCTACAGAGCGCAATGAGATTGACTCTATCTGAATTTTCTCCAATGGATTTGTTGTAGAATCCATTATTGGTGTTGATATTGGTCGAGACAGATGAGAGGAGGTTGTCAAGGTTTGTCTTGTATGGGCTATTACTCGTGTAATTACCATTATTTTGACATTCATAGAAGAAAAATATCTGAGTTGGGAATTGGGATTTGACAATAGAAACAAGGTTTATCAGACAGACTAGGAAAATGAAACTAGGAAGCCACTTCCAGGAACTCATGTCTAAATGGAGAGGAATGATGGCTATAAAGTGTGATAGTCTCTTCATATCAGCAGGTATTTATATAGAATTTCATAATTAAAATCGACGAATTTGGCATTAATATTTATTAAGTATCAGGTGTGCACTGTTCAAATGCAGAAATTAACGGATGATTCGAATCATTCACACCCCGAGTGGCAGCAGCAAACTTCTTCGGCGAGCTATTAAAAGCGGCATGGCCGTGAAGGCTGTTCAACAGTACGTCCAACTCCCGGTAAAAAACGTCTGTATTTGTGACATTTTCCCCACTACGACCCGATATCATTGGGGAATTTGCAAGAATTCCAAAGATAGCCTCGTTGGAATATCGTACCATACAAAATTCGTGCCATAAGATTGCCTGTTTTTGATTTGGACACCTCTTTAAGATTTCGGCCGTAGCATTTTCCACATAATAACGACACTGAGAAGGCTGAAGATCAGCTCTACAGAGCGCAATGACGTTGACTCTATCTGAATTTTCTCCAATGGAGTTGTTGTAGAATCCATTATTGGTGTTGATATTGGTCGAGACAGATGAGAGGAGGTTGTCAAGGTTTGTCTTGTATGGGCTATTACTCGTGTAATTACCATTATTTTGACATTCATACAGGAAAGATATCTGAGTTGGGAATTGGGATTTGACAATAGAAACAAGGTTTATCAGACAGACCAGGAAAATGAAACTAGGAAGCCACTTCCAGGAACTCATGTCTAAATGGAGAGGAATGATGGCTATAAAGTGTGATAGTCTCTTCATATCAGGAGGTATTTATATAGAATTCCATAATTAAAATCGATGAATTTGGCATTAATATTTATTAAGGAGAAGGTGCGCAGCAGGTACATAAATCCCCATCGTTCATCTTTTCCACAAGATAATTTTCTTCTTCAAGCAGGAACCAAATTTTCTTTTGCTGATAATTAGCATGTTCCTGTGCATTAAGGTATGGTTAAAAAAAGTAACTTTTGAAAATTATGTTTCGTAAAATGAAATTACATTTGGCTTAATTTTAAACACTGCCAAACATATTGTTTTATTCACTTGCTTATTCCTTTCAATCGAATTTATTTAATTATTTGATGCTTACAGCTTAAAATTATTATATTAATTTTTTCCCTACACTTTATAATTTACATGGACCTAATTCAAAATGGAAGAAATGTAATTTAAATGAGAAGTGGTACTTCATATTTATGCTAAATTTATGGACGAATATCTAAAATTAACTTTCTCTATGGAAAAAGAAAAAGAAAAAAAGTGAAGTTAATACTGAATTTGTTGGGAAAATTAAGAATTTGTGTATAGTGATCTACACTACTTGGAACTCATAATAACAATAGATAAATATAATTTAGAAACAAGTGGGATATTTCTTTGCAAAATTATGCTCAATTTCATATACGGAAAGAGAGGAAAAGATGGCATTTGGTAAATCGTCCAAAATGTCCTCAATCAAAATGTCTATCAATCGATCCCTATTCATTCGGTCAAAGTCTCCGTCACACCCCTCTACTAAGAGATGTTCTCTATTAGCAATACTTATCGTCTCTTCATGCATTTTGGAATATCTCTTCGCAAAAAGTAGTACGTATTTGTAGCATTTTGTGAGTTGTCGAAAATGCATTTCTCTTCATATGGGTATCAACTATTCGATATGACTTTATTATGAAAGCACCCTTAAGCTCATAGCGACTTCTTCTACCACGTGCACGGATATTGAGGATGCATTCTTTTTGTTGCTCAAAGAGTATATGTACATATAGAAATCAAATATTAGATAAACAAAATAAGTAATGGTTTGAAGCTTTTAAATCATTATTGTGTGTTAGATTGCGAACATGGAATTTGCATGGAAATAAAATAAATTCTAGACAATTCAATTGTCTAGAACTTATTTGTATGAAATTTATTTACTAAATGTGTTTGATTTATTTATTTTTCAATTTAGAAAATATTATACTTGTCATTTTTATTGGTGTGTAGATGGAATAGAGTGGATAGATAAGAGAGAGAAAAAGAGAGTGAATTCTCTGGATAATAAAATCATACTTCTTCTAAAGAAAATGTTTTCCTTAATTTTGAGGAAAATATGATCACCGACAAAAGTAGGAAAATGTTTTTCATGAAAAAAATATCAATCAAACAGCACAAATATAGAAATTTGGACGGAAAAACATATTTTTTATGAAAATTGTTGGCAATCAAACGCACCCTTAAATTACAACAATGTTAACTCTCGACCAAACCATCAATAGCATTCAAAGCAGTTCAACAAAATATCTCTGTCACTATCAAATGACTCAACATCAATTCCAGAATTATAAGACCAAGACTGGCTTGGAAATTCGAAAATCTAGCTATAACCAAAATAATGTGTAAATAATTTTTTTTTTTTTTAAATCATCATCATCAGATCTTTATATATTTACATGCTGGTGAAATTTCACTCACAGTGAGTATTTTAAAACTCTTTGGCAACTTCTACTGCAGATGACAAACCTCATAATACTCACCTTTATATATTTTTTCCCTTATTCACACATTGACAACAACAATTTTGCATATTAATTGTTCTGACTGAAAAGTTATTTTTTATTATTTATGTATAAGAAATAGTGTATAGAATTTGTTATACAACAATAACAATATAATAATAGACTTTCTTTCCAATAAATTTGAAGTCAATATGAGTTATGCTCTATGAATTTTTTTTCGCCGCTCCTTTATTTATTATTTATCGTGTTACAGTCTATTTTGATCCAATTCCATCACACATATTGCTATTTATAAACCAAAGCACGTAAATAATTTTTCTGATTTTATTTTTATGTTATGTTGCAATTGAACGAATAGATAGTACTTGATATTGTAAAGAAGAAAAAGTAAATTTAAATTTTATTTACTATAATTTTAGTATCATTTAATATATATTGAGAACCTAACATACGTTTATATATGAATAAAATTATACGACGGGTCAATTTTCAAAGTTTATGCGATCCAGATTTCTAGTGTTTTTAATATATTCATTACTTAACTCGGCTCGATAATACAATTTTCAAGTTTTAAATGTTTTCTATTATTTAAAACAACCATAAAAATAAAATGAATAAATTAAAAAGTAAAACAGAAATAAACGAATAAATAAATTTAAATTTGTAAATTAGTTTGTGACTCTTGTTCGTTGAAGAAAATTCTTGTTGAAATGGTCAATGATGGATAACTACTACTAGCCCGTTGAGCATTTTATCATTCGTTACACATTAGTTTTGTTGATTTTTCAAGTCAAGCAACACAAATAAATTGTTGGTCTTGGTCTTCTCATAATTCACACACAACAAGACACATCTACTTTATGGAAAATGAGTTTTGGAATATTGAGTTTTTTTTTTTTATGGAAAATTAGTTTTTTTGGAGAATGTGTGATTAATAAGTAGAAAAAAAGTTTTGAATTTATGTGTAGTTATTGTGAGAATGTGTGGTTGAAAATGAGTTTGAGGAAAAAAAAATATAATGTTTATCGAACAAGGTATTAATTTGATGTTATTCATTTTGCCAAACGTATATAATTTTCAAAAGTTACATTTTTTAACTATAACTATAACTATTATGCACAGGAACATGCTCATTATCAGAAAAAAGAAAATGTGGTTCCTGCTTGAAAACGAGAATTTATCTTGTGGAAAAGATGAATGATGGGGATATATGTACCTACTTCGCACGTTCTCCTTAATTCCAAATCAAATAGGTTTTAATTATCGGAATGCTACATGAATACCCGCTGATCTATAGTGATTATCACATTAAATAACAATAATTACTTTTCATATATCATTAAGTCCCTGTATGGTGGGGATTAAAATTAATTTTTTAGTATATTTTAATAAAAGTTAATGAAATGTATGGTTGAAAAGTTATAACTGTGGGGAAATACGGGTTACCAAGAGGGTCTTAGTAAATTTCAGCATTGGGCTATATAATGATGATGTGATGTGTGATGTGGTTCCAATGCATGCGGGGCATTTGTTGTTGGGAAGGCCGTGACGGTATGATAGGAGAGTGAAACATGACGGATTCACAAATCGATACAGCTTGGTGAAGGATGGCAAAAAAGGCAGCCCCTCCCATGTGAGTGTGATTGTACAAATAGGTTAAAGTGTGAAACCATCCTTGCGTGTCTCAATTGTCATAAGATATTTCAACGAGAACTTGAACAGAACAAAGACCACAATTTGATTAATTTTATTTATTGATTGTTTTCTTAATTGAAAAGGATTAAATTGTATGTATTAATAAATGAGAAAAAGGAGACTAAAAACTTGTCAATATATTATTATTCAATCAAATTCAATACTTGAGGATTTATATTTACAATTTACCTATTTGGTCCTTCAACCTTCGAAATCATCCGAGTTTGGTCCGTCTCAAGTTTCGAAACTGTGAAAATTAATACCCAGACTTTCCAAAAGTTGAATTTCACTCTCAAAACTTGCAATTTTTCTTTCGATTGCTCTTTTAATACTTCTTATAACTCCTTGTAATCTATTTAAATTAGCTCAAAAATTCTTCTTCTTCTTTTTTTTTTTTTGCCCCAAAAGCCTTCAAGTCCTAATTTTACCTACAATAACCAATTTTACACTAAATTAGATAGAAATTAACTCAACTTTATCAAGTTTAATGGCACATATGAATGAGTAAAAATACAGTACTTATCAGGACATTAATTTAACTTTCCTTGTATGTTTGATAAACCTTGTTGCTATTGTCAAATCCCAATTCCTAACTCCAACTACTAGTGTAGACTGGTGGATGGACTAACGGTCTACATTTTGTTAAGTTGAAGGACTAAAAATGTGCATTTTAAAGTTTAAAGACCTTTGTCGCTCAAGATGTGAAGTTTAAGGACCAACCAGGACTTTCACTCAAAATATTTGCTATTAATTAGTGGTAATATGATGCATTCAAAATTACAAAGAAAATAAGCTCCTGTTTGACAACGTGTGATGAATATGAACAGGTTTGTCATATGCATTTAGAAGTTACCAACGAGTTTTAAATTACTGATTAGGAGTGAAATTTCTAAGAATTTCATATGAATCACTATACTTCCTTTTTGTTACAATTGGTTATGTATTGAACGAGTCATTAGCCTCTCCATAGCTCATGCATGAAGAACTTCGGCTTCCACCTCAAACAAAGACTAAATGCTTATTAAGACTAGGGGTCTCATATCTTAAAAGGTCTACCTTGTTAAGAGGAGTTCAACCCCTCGTAAGTTTATAATTTAATATTTATTCGATATGAGATTTCTTAATATGTCTCTATAAGATGTTAGTTCATTTGAGTCTTAATCAGATTGAATTGCTCGTTAGAGCTTAATGACTTCTAATATCATATAATAAGACTAGTAATTTTATTTTAAAAGGTCATCTTATACATTAATTTATATTTGAATCTTTATTCAATGTAGGATTTCTTAACAAGGCTTTAGAGGATCATGTAATTATTCTTTGTTATAACTCGAGTAATACTCATAAATTCAATTGCACATCGAATTTTTTCGATCACATCTTCTTCCTAGAAAACCACTACGACTACCTATGTATACAACAGACCCCAAGATCGACTTAAGAAGGATGGTTGGGGCAAGTTGACAAAAGCATAAAACTATACCAAATCTGAATATACGAATCCTAATGCGAACATTG